TTTCATGGGGTGGTCCAAGTGAAACTGACAGCTTCGGAGGCGGCCGCCGTTGAGAACCTCGCAGCGCTTCCTCGTCCGCTGGATTGCAAGCTCGTTCTGTCGCTTGCGAACTCAGCATACAAGGAGAGGGGCCTGGAGAATGAGTATCTCGTCTTCTTTAGACTGTTAGGGTTTGTGAAAATCCCTTTTGCTGATGTGTTTTATTGATGTGTTTTATTTGCTGTGTCTGCAGGCATAATGGGCAGAAGTAAGTGGCGTGAGCTGAAGCATCGCTACAACGTCGCCGAGATCGAGGTTCCTGAGCCTCAAGAGGAGGAGATTTCCCCATTAAGACCAACCAAAAAAGAATGAGGGGCGAGAAAGAGGTCGGGGGGACCTCTGCCCCTCGTAGTGCCGAGGAGGTGACCTCGAGGGCCGCTGATGCTGACGCGGTCGATCTCACTAGGAGCTCTCCACCGTCCATGGAGGTTCCTCAAGTGACCTCTGAGGAGATGGCTCAGGCTGCTGAGCAGGTTGCTCAACCTGCCGAGGTGGTGAGTACCTTGTCTCTTTGGTTTTTCTTTTATCTTTTATGTTTCTTTTCTGCCTTCTAACGTAGGGCCATTTTCTACAGGCAGCGGATGCTGCCGAGATGGTGACCCAGGCTGCTGGGCAGGCTGCCTAGGCTGCCGAGGTGGGTGTTTTTCCCTTCTGTGATTTTTCTCGCATGTGGCATTCTTCTTGTCTTTTGTCTTAAGAGGATAATTTTGTTTTTTGCAGGTGAGGAGTGCTGCTAGGGCCTCTGTACCTCCGAGCTCTAGGGCGCCAGGGGGGAATCCCCCGGTTGCCGAGCAGGAGGTACCTATGGCTGCCACCTCCGACCAACGTGGGAAGGGGCCGAGCCCCAAGGTCCCGACATCTGCCCCGATGGCAAAAGGCCGCTCGAAGCGTCCGTATCTCGCGCACCGCTACGAGAAGGAGAGTTCGCAGGTGCGGCTGGAGCACCAGAGTGCTTTGGAGGAGATCGACTTGCTGTGGAGCGCTGCGGTGACCCCGGAGAAGTTCTTCCCCCAAAGCTCGCTGAGCACGGCTGATCAGGCTATGATCGAGTCAGCCGGGCCGGTGGGGAGCTTGGATGCTGCTCAGTTTTTCCTGTAGAGGAGCACCGCCATTGTGGATTACTGGAAGCACAAGTGGCCCAAGCAGCAGGAGAACCTGGTGAAGTTGAAGGGACGAGTTCAACCCCTAAAGGACGAAAACAAGGTCCTGAAGGAGGAGAACAAGGTTCTAAGCGCCGCCCTTGGTGAAGCGAAAGTGCAAGGTGTCGAGCTTCGAGCTGCGAGGGGAGACCTTGCAAGGGTCCAGAAGTCGCTGGAGATCGCCCTACGCTCCAACGAGAATTACGCCTCTCAGGTGAACGAGCTGCAGGGGCTCGCTGCTTCGTCCCGAGGTCGGGTACGCTTCTTGGAAGACGAGGTGACGTCTTCCCGTGGTCGAGTTCACTCCTTGGAGGATGAGGTGACGTCCCTAAAGAGAGAGTTGGTGGCGGCGGAAGGTTTCTTGACCCTCTGTGACATGAGTGGGGGCCTTGTTGAGGTCGGGGGTCGACTTGTTCGTTGGTGCATGAGATCGATGCGTTGCAGGTCGTGGAGTCGGTGCCCGAGTTGCGGTCCGAGGTTGGGAGACCGAATGTCCCTCTTCCTCGTGGAGGTTGCTCGCCTGAGGTTGATGGTCAGAGGGGCGTCGAGGGAGCTGAGCGCGAATCCGCTCGTTCTCGGCACGTAATGCCGCTAGGTCAGCCTCGTTAGCGGCCCGCATTGCGGCTAGGTCGGTTTCGTGCTGGGCACGCATGTTTCGCAGATCGGCGTCATGTTGTTGCCGCATCTGTTCGACCTGGTCGATCAGTCTCCTCAATGCAGCTTCGTTGTCCATGGTGGTTGAGTGATCTAGGTCGTCTGTTGCTATCTGCTATGGCTTCTGGTGAAAATCATACGGGTTGCCAATAAGAGATGTCTTGATCGATCCCACGGTGGGCGCCAAATGTTCTTACCGGGGATCTGAGGTAGAGTTGATCCACTAGGTAAGGTCGGTGAGCCTCCTTCACTAGTACGCTTGAATGCTCCAAGATGGGGGTGGTACCTGCAAAAGAGACTCTGATGCTAAAGTTAGGGTTTGTATGAGTATGAGTCTCGTATAACTAAAGCACGTACCTTAGCGTGAATCAGGATTGCGTTGGGCCTTGGGCCTGAGATTAGATATGATATGATTAGATAATGAATCTCGTCTAGAGCGAGATCCTCTGAGATCAATTATGATCCGATTAGATAGTGGTTCTCGTCTAAGCCGAGATCTCTCAGTGCAGGCCCGAGGTCACTTTGCGCCGCAATGCCGAGCTCGAGCTCGGCGTGGAGGTACGGATAGTACAATAAGCACTAGATGATGGTCTTCCAACTTTGAGGTGGTTTCCTTTTCTTTCAAGTTCTTTGAGCTCTGGAGCATAAGCCCATTGCCCATATCTGAAAATAAGAAAACATAAAAGCTAATTAGAAACCCACCTTTTAAAATTTAACCTTTCCTTAACCCTCCTGTAGTTAAAATACTTAACATTAGTTACTAATTCCCTTCCCTCTTAATTAATTAAATAAAACCTTTAATAAAATAATTTATATTATATTTCAAAATATATAAAATAATTAAATAAATATCAAATAACTCTTATTAATAAAAAAAATGCTAAAATTATTAATAAAACATTTATATTACATTTTATGAAAAACGGAGTGTTGCATCAAGCATCAACATTTGAATTCAAACAAATAATTACCTCCTGAAACACAATAATCTTCATGGTCTCATTCACAATGAAGCAAACAAAATGAGATTAAAGGTCAATTCTACTGCTCATGATTATTCCACACCTATTAGCAAGATAACTCACTTCCTCTTTATCTCCATAAAAGTCCGACATTAGTAAGGGGCCTTCAAGGTGGTTGGTGGTTTCCTCCTTCAGACTTATAATTAGAGCAAAAGTGTAACTCCTCGATAAAACCTCCTAACCAAGCCACAAAACTCTTGAGTTAAAGAGACTTACTCAAAGTGAAACGTTTATTTTTTTCTTAATTAAATAAATACAACCAATTATAAAACATACCTTATAATTATTATGTTCAAGCTCCCCTTATACTAATAAAACTCTTGTAATTATTTTTAAATTTTAATTATATTATTTATTTTATGAAAAATGGATGTTATATGAGATATCACGTTTGAGTAGAAAGAAGTTATACCTCTTTATTAAAAAAAAAAGTTAGAACTTAATTAAATTAAATTTATTTTTATTTTTATTCTTGCATATTCGATTTTGGTTTTAATGAAAATTTTCTCCTTTATTTTATCTCACGTTATTTTATTTTATTTCTCATAATATAGTTGTTTTTAGTCAATGAATATTCTAATAATTTATTTTTAATCTCTATATTAATTATTTTTCAAAGAGATTAATTTAAAATGAGTAAAGTATTATAAAGTATGTTCCGATATGCTTAAAAGTCACATATCACTTAAGAGTCGAGGTTAAAGGTAGTTTATAAACACCCTTCCTCCTTAACTCACCGAGACGCCTTTTAAAGGACAAAACTGTGACGGCCCAACGAGTCAAAGCGGACAATATCTCGGATGCGGTGACCGTAACAATGACAACAAACTTATGGTAGGAACATTGGCACCAGTAGGAGGGCCCAGGCCACTCTTGCCCCTTAGCATCAATTGAGTGGCTTGTTCCGGTATGCCTAAAAAGTCTCACATCACTTAAGAGTCGAGACTAAGGATAGTTTATAAACATCCTTCCTTCTTAACCCACCGAGGCGTCTTTTAAATGACAAAATCGTGACGGTCTAACGAGTCAAAGCGGACAATACCTCGGATGCGGTGACGCTAATGATGTCAGGGTAGGAACAAAGTAAAATAAAAAAGTTAATATATTAAAAGAACTAAAGATCAAAATTAAAAAATAAAATTTTAGTAGAAAATTTTAAAAGAAATAATTTTACATAAACCAAAATCGTATATTATAAGGGTATGTTTAAAGCATTAAATTATAACCTAGGAATGGATCAGTTGCATGGCATGCATGGAAAGAAAATAAAGAGAGTACTACGTATGCTAACACGTAAACCCAAACCTGACTGTCTGTGACGAAGAACGAGACCCTCAGCCTCGTCTTCTCTCACGTTCTCCTGTGATTTTCCCCGTCACCGTCAGGTACGCCAATTCCTCCTTCAATTTTCGCTTCTCACTGAAATCGTCAATTTAATTCTCCAATAATTTCTATTATACAAGTTGTTTTAATATTCTGAATCTCTGATCATATAACAACAATTTAACAAATGCATTTATGTGAATTGAAACATTATATACGTATAGGGGTCCAAGAACAACACCAAAATCTTACCAACCATCCCACAATAAAGGCGCCTGGAGAGGCATCACAATACTCAAGCGGCATGGGCAACATTGGAATCCCTGCCAGTCATCCACTTCTCTGCCCACCAACACAGGGGCACATCAAACATCTCCTTCCCATCCACCTGGGGGCAGTCTTTCATCCCACAACACCAACAAGAAAACATTAAGTATAAGAACAAAGAGGGTTACCTGACCTTAGAGGAGGCCGACTGAAGCCTTAAAATATCAGTCCAGCTTGGAGAGGCTTGTCGCAACCCGAAAATTTCTGATCTTGCGACCTATGGTTTAAACATCCTTTTAAAGATCTCATCAATTAAGGAATGCCCGGACACCAGACTAATCCTTAATCAATGGTTTTGAAAATAGGTTCTATGGAGTCGCCACCAATGTTTTACTCAAAACATTGGAAAAAGAAAAGATTTTTAAAAGATCCAATAATGGCCTTGATAACCAGAATTGGGTTCGGGGGTCGGTTACGTGTAAGGAAGGTATTAAGCACCCCAGAAATAAAATTTACTTGATGAATGTATTTTCAAGACAAAATCAATGAAATTTCATCTTACAACATAAGAAACAGAAATCAAACCTCATAAAAACGAGACAATAACTGTACTACTGTACTTTTTCCGGCACCACTAGGACCCACCAGAGCAGTTACAGTTCCACATTTTAGCCTTAAATTTAGGCCATTTAAGATTTCCACATCTGGCCTTAAAGGATAAGAGAAATATACGTCTGCAGCATAATATGAGCATAGTCATTGAAAGAGAAGGAAAAAAAAAGTATACATTACTAAATAAGCCGTGCATTAAGACAACACATCACAAGGGATACAAACAAAATTCAAAAAACTACCTTCAAGACAAATATCTCCAGACCAAGCTAAGTTACACAAATTGCTTGATGTTTTAAGAGCTGACATGTAATGTAAATAATTCTTTTGGTTATTCTCAGTAGAAATATTAGATAAGACCAATTTATAGCTTTCATCATCCATTGTTTTTTGTTTCAGTTCTCTTTCTAAGCCATAAGCAAGGGCATCATCAACTGGAGCTCCAGACAAAACAGAGTTGATCCTCTCAACAGCAGCCAAAGTTCCACGAAGATCTCCAAAAGTATTAACCAATCCTTGAACCTAAAATACATGATATCAGATAGGACAGAGGATGAAAAATATAAAATAAAGTAAAACAGAAGGTCAACAACTCAACTAGCTTACAGCAAATGTTAAAGTGAAAGTATATCCGAAGTTCTTGTAAAATAATTGGGCAAACGGCAATTGGCCGGGCTGCATCAGTTCGTCAGAGGGATGAGGAAATGCTGGAAAGGAAGCGAAAGGCCGAGGAATTAAATATTTCTGGAGTTGATGATCAAGCTTATTGTTTGGTGGTTGAAGAAGATGAAGATTCTGCTATGAAGTTCGATCTCACGCCTCTTTACCGTGCTTGTCATATTCATGGTTGCCTGGGGATCCGAGAGCAGTTTCATGAATATTACTATAAGAATAGATTGTTACAATTGAATTCAGATTTGGAAATATCTTCGGCGCAACCTTTCGTTGAATCATATCAGACATTTTTGGCTCAAATTGTTGGGTACTTCATAGTGGAGGATAAGGTCCTGAGGACTGGTGGTGGGCTACTAGTACCTGACAAGGTCGAAACTATGTGGGAAACTGCTTTGGCAAAAATAACATCAATGTTGGACGTGCAATTCTCCCATATGAACTCTGCCACCCATCTTCTCCTAGTTAAGGATTATGTTACTCTTCTTGGGTCTACTCTTAGACAATATGGATATGACATTGGTCAACTTCTTGATGTGCTTGATAATAGCTGTGACAAATACCATAGACTTCTTTTAGAAGAATGTCGGAGCCAAACTCAAGATGTTCTTGGCAACGACTCATATGAGCAGATGGTGATAAAAAAGGATACTGACTATGAGAATCATGTTCTGTCATTTAATATTCAAACATCTGATATTATGCCTGCTTTTCCATATGTTGCACCATTCTCCTCCATGGTGCCTGATGCTTGTCGCATTGTGAGATCCTTCATTAAAAGCTCTGTTGATTACTTGTCTTACGGTGTACGTACTGGTTTCTTTGATGTTGTGAGAAAGTATTTGGACAAGTACCTGATTGAAGTATTAAATGAAACTTTACTAGATACAATAAATAGTGGAAATATCAGTGTGTCTCAAGCCATGCAGCTTGCTGCAAACATAGCTGTTCTTGAAAGAGCTTGTGATTATTTCCTTAGACATGCAGCTCAACTGAGCTGTGTCCCAGTTCGAACAGTTGAGAAGCCCCAAGCTACTTTAACTGCAAAGGTGTTACTGAAGACTTCGAGGGATGCAGCTTATATTACTTTGCTCAGTTTGGTAAACACAAAATTAGATGAATATATGAATCTTATAGAAATTATCAACTGGACTTCAGAGGAGCCAAAGCCAAATGGAAATGAGTACATAAATGAAGTAATCTTTTATCTTGATTCACTTATGTCCACAGCCCAACAAATTTTACCCTTAGATGCTATGTACAAGGTTGGAACTGGTGCACTTGAGCATATTTCCAATATAATTGTGGGTGCTTTCCTTAGTGATATTGTCAAAAGGTTTAATGCAAATGCAGTTATGAATATAAACAATGACCTTAAGATGCTAGAGGACTTTGCACATGAGAGGTTCTATACTTCTGGCTTGGGTGAAATTTACAGGGAAGGTAGTTTTAAGAGCTGTTTGATAGAAGCACGACAATTAATTAATCTTCTGTCAAGTAGTCAGCCTGAGAACTTCATGAATCCTGTTATAAGAGAGAAAAATTACTATGCGTTGGATTATAAGAAGGTAGGCAGCATTTGTGATAAATTCAAGGATTCTGCAGATGGGATCTTTGGAAGTCTTTCGAATAAAAATACAAAGCAAACTGCTAAAAAGAAATCAATGGACATGCTCAAAAAGCGACTTAAGGATTTCAATTGACTAGACTTGGAAAACTGTTCTTTCATTTCAACTAGGGTATAATTGTAGTGTTATTCTATTTTGAATGCTTAACTTCCAAATTATTAGTGTTTCTGTATTTCTCTGATTTATTTTTATATAATAAAAAATATTTCTGTCTGAAGTTGTTTCTTTAGAATACCAGCATGCCTGTTTCACACAAATAAATGTTCTTTCCCACTTGAATATAGAAGTTCCGAGGTTTATTATCTGCATTTGATTTCATTGTCACTACATCATTCAGCTGCTGCACCGTGTTGATGGATCCTAACTCTGATTACATATACAAAGACAGATCATGCTAATCTATTTTACTTGAGGCTTCATCATTTCAATGTTCTACAATTTTCTAACTAGCTTACGCAAATGGTGGTGGCCATCAAGTATCTTATTGCAAATTATACTCAAACTGGCAGACACTATTATCTACAAAAATTATTTTTTTCCAAGGTAAGGAATTTATTTTTTGTTTTATTTATAACATTCTATTATTCTTAATATATACTCACAATTTTGTTGACCTTTTTTCCTTGCCGGCAAATGCCTAATATTGTTAGCAGAAGATTGAAAATGTTATGCGTAGTGTTAGTGATAATCTTTTATTTGCTGGATTACCATACGCATATTTTTCATTCATATATATATATAACAAATATATTACAAAAAAATGACAGTCATATATCATACGCATATGTACTGTCAACAAAACATATGTACTTACAATGATTAGATGTATAGATTTACTTAAAATCAAGTACTTAGTAGGATATTATCCACTTAAATGAGCAAATATAATAATAAACAGAACATTAGTCACTAATTAAATTACGCTACTTTCTCTTGAGGAAAAAATATTACATTGTCTTTTTTTTATGTTAAAATATACAATTTAATTCATTTAACTTAATGTTAATGTAAATTACACTTTCCTCTCCTAGAAGATGTAAGTATTACACTATCAATCATTCATATTTAAAATTTCAAAGAAATAATATTTTTGTCCTTTAGAGATAGAAATATTATACTATCATTCTCCTATTATATGATTAATTTTGAGTATTTAACTTAACATCATTAAATAAAAATAATCATCATAAAATTTTAAAATATATAATTACTTCATTATAATTCATTGACTTGATTAAAAAATTATTAAATATATAATTAAATTTAAGTTAATTTATTAAAATAATAAATAAAATAAAACCCTCAACACAAACATGTATTAAATCAAAATATTTCATTAAATGTTTATAAGTAAAATAAATTATAAACCCTAAGCATGTATGTACGCACGTATTAATATATATATAT